TAGCGATATTTCTCTATCCGCGTAAATTAGACACGCGGTGGTTAATCGTTTTCGCAACCGAATCATATATATATACGTTCTAAGTAATTTAGGCTGTTGGTAGGATGGAATCTTTCTCTCTCTCTCGCGCGCGCGCGCGGCGCCAACGGCAGCCGCGTCCACGCCGCCCAACCGATATCCCCGCCAATGATGTAGGGGAAAGAATTCACGCGTTAAACACGCATCGAAAAACAAGACGATTGTGCGTTACGGGCGCGTGGTTGCAAAACAAAACCGTGCTGGTTACCATGACACTCGGGTTAAGTAACGTGATTCGATTGAAGGTACATTTTTCTTGCTAACGAGCGATAATTGATTTATTGTGTACGAAGGGGTCAGCCGGGCCGTATACGCGGTAGCACGCGCCCTGGTACCGAGCGATCCGCTCGATTGAATCCTCTCTCTCTCTCTCTCTCCGCCAACGCGCCTTCACGTTCACGATCTTTCGACTCGATCGATCGATGGTACTTATCGTTCGAAAATTGATTCCCCTCCGGCCGTTGATCGAGGATGGCGTCGAGACGTGGATAAGTCGGCGGTTACGAGGGAATCGTAAGCTCGGTAAGAACGTAAGGTCACCGGCAACGCCGCGCCAAAGCCCATTTCTGGCTGGACGTTAATGCATTTCGACGCAAGTTTATACCGATCGTTTCGATCCCAGCAGTCGTCGTCTCCCGTCTTTGCACGATCTTTACGAGATTCGTATTTCTCTCCGCGCGGCAACAAAATTACACAGAGTGTGACCACAACAACGTTGAAAACGCACAGGCGACCATCGCTATCCAATGGGAAGGATCGTTTATTTCGAAAGGTCGTCTCGATTCGCGAAAGGCGAAAGGGAGGGAGGGAGGGGACGGGATAATGCGGGCATCGATGATGGCTCCTGAGAAAGCCGCATCGGGCGGAGAAGTTGGCAATTAGTCACGAGCTATGACCGAGTTGAAAACCCGATTGGCATTTAAAACACCCGACTCTATCCGCCACTCGTTCGAGTAAACAGGGATCGCTCGCAACCCCGTTTACGTAAAACACCGAACGAGCGAACCAGCGAGGAGTTAAAAAAGTCAAGGGAACTGGATCGTTCTCGAGACGAACAATTTCGTGTAAACTCGAAATTGGCGAAAAAAATGGCCGATCGACTTCTTCGGCAAGAATACGTAATGAAGGGATATTGAGAGAACGAGGGTTTGACAAAGAGTCTTCGAGATACTCGAACGAGTTTGCGAGTCGAGGTAGAAGAAAAAGAAGAGAGAGAAAGAAAAAAAGAGAAAAGAAAAAAGAAAAGAAAGTTCTACGGGTGCTTCGACCCGAAGCGCAAAGACCTAGAAAACAACTCGATTGTGTTTTGAAACGCGTTTCTACCTTGTTCTCTATTATCGATCGTTCTACGACATCCGACCGCGTGGGAAAATGTAGAGGGTTGAGTCTTTTGGGAAACGAGCGACTCAACTCGAGCAAACTCGTGTCTCTATGGGCTGCGAAAGGGGTCGGTGATCGCAAGGTGTACGCATAATTACGAAACCCGTCACGGCGTGGAAACACGGCCTATATAATCCCACCGGATTAGCCTAAGACGATAGCGGTTTCACCCCTCGGGAAAAAGAGGTAGAAGAAAGGGTAGAATGTGCTACTATGTGCACAATTGAAATTCAACCGAAACCGGTTGCTCGCAATTGCATTTTCCGTTGACAGGGGGAGAGGGGATAGAACGCGACAGAAGTTGAAATATTCGCACGAGATGCAAATAGAAGAGAAATACAACAGTTGACGTCATCCGTCATACGCGTCGATCCGTCGCTTCGACGCGTCCGCCTACCGCTATTTGTCCACAGCCGCCAATCCGTATCGCGTTAATCGGAGTAATATATTTGATCGCGAACGGTGAAACGGTTTCGAAATTCGAGCCGCAGAAATGATCAAACTCGAGCGCCACGAAAGCAACAATTGTTCCGAGAATATCTTGGAAAATTATCGAACGAAAGGAGAGAAAGAGGAAAAAAAAAATATATATATATATANAACGAAGGAAGATGGATACACGTACATTGCTACATTGTTGGCCGCGGCGATGCACTGGGATGGGGGGAAGAACGCGCATATACACACACATCAAGTAGACGCCGAGTGGAATGGTGGGGGAAAGCGTGGCTAAAGGGGAAAGGGAAGGCGATCGACTGAGCGACGAAACGGCGGGGAATGGGGTGGTGGGAGAAGGGAGAGGGAAGAGGGTCGAGGCGAGGGCACGAGGGATGCACGAACTGAAAGGGGGAGGCAGTAGGCCGCAGGCTTCATTCACTACGCGGCTACGTTCTACTATGAAGTGTTTGTGTTCGCGTTTGCCGGTCCGTCGACACCGACCGACCGTCCGACCTCCCGTTT